TAGGAAGAGATTATCCATTTTTCTCCCTCAGAGCAGCTAGTGAATTAGAATCACCTGTTTTGAGGTTGGCAGCACAGTTTCTTACCCACAGCGCACCAAAGTGGACCCTAAGAAATGATTAAAAGAGGAGAAAGGAAAATCTAGCTTCAAGTCTGAAAATACAGGAGAAATAAGAGGAGTGAATGGGATTCTCAGAGGAGGAACACCTCATCCTCTTAAACTGAATGAGACAAGACTTCTCTCACATGATATTACTACTCATTGCCATGAAGTTAGAACCGACTCCTAGCTGACCTTCCAATGGGGTTTCAGAGGCTATAAGATGCACAGGAGGAATGGCCCCCTTTCCTCTCTAGGAGCGCCTGGTGAATTTGAACTGCCCTCTTTTGGGTTGGTAGCACAACTCCATATTTACTATGCCACCAGAGCTCACATGATAGTCTTGGCATTTCAATTGTTTTTGTAATAATATGGGAGACAAATTTCCTAGAGAATTTGGTCAATATCAGGAGGGATCAGTCCCTGGGGAAGGCCGTGATGCTTAATGAAGTAGAGGCTCGGTGAAAAGGAGGAAGACACTCAACAAGAAGCATTTGCACGGTGGTTACAACAGTGGGCTTACACACAGTGATGATTCCAAGGACGGCACAGAGTTGGGCAGCGTTTCATTGTATTGTATATTGTATATTGTACATTGTACGTAGGGTCGATATGCATTCGAATGGCGCCTTACAGCAACAGCAATTTGGTAATACTCTGAATCTCCCTGTTACAGATTTCCTTTTGTCAATAAACAGCCCAACTGCCCTCGGAGCATCTGTCTGAATACTGCAAGATTGCTGCGCTTGGGCTATGGGAAGCAGCACCTCCACCCAACACCACTTTGCTTTCCAGAATGCAGAAAAAGGTACGTGTCTCTCATATTCAAAGACGGGAATAGGTGTCCCAGAGCCAACACTGTGTAGGGAGGGGCTGAGGATTAGTCCCGGGAGCTTCTCAGAATAGAAGCAGGAAGCTATTACATTTCTCCCCAAGCCAATTCTGAGAAACTAGCTATGTCTCCTTGTGAGTTGACTACTAAAATAAGCAAACTCATATCTTAGGATTTGGTAAACTAAACCTGATTCTTAAAATTAACACAAAGAGTGAAATATCTCAGTCACAAAAAGACAAATACTGCATAATGCCACTGTTAGAGAACAGGACTGATATGGGGGTTGTGGGGAAACAAAGAAAAGAGGGGATTAAATAATGTGCATCGCATTGAAAGAGGCGAGGGAGAGAACTGTATAAAAGGAATATATGATTAGATACTACTGGTATGACAAGAGTCCAGAATAAGTGGTCCAGGGTGGGGGGTGGGTTGAGGGACTGTATAACAATGAAAGAACTTTTTTTCCAAAGAACAAAAGCAAAGTGAGGGAGGGGGGCAGGGAGGAAAATGTGCAACAATAAATAAATGTAAATCCAAGTTCTTTATAAGCTTTCGTTAAAATCTAAAAAACAAAAAAAACACCTAACTGAAAGAGTCAGTGTTGGTCCATTGTGATTTCATATACAAAATGAATTAAGGTTTGGCAAAGAGATTGGAAGAGCATTCCAGGGTGTAGCATATGTGTGGTCAGGAGGAAGGATGAAGTGAGACAATCATGAAGGTGAATGGCCTGTTTAGTTGACCTGAACCTGATCGAGGTGGAGGACGGCGTGAGATGAAACTGTTGGTGTAAACCAGAAAACCAAACCCATTACTCTTCAGTTGATTTCAATTTATGGTGACTCTCCACTGGGTTTTTGTTGCATAGTTCTTTACAGTAATTTGCCTATCTTTCCCCTGTCAAGTGGCTGATGGAGCAATGGTTAAGACATCAGCTGCTAATGAAAATGTTGACCCATAGGTTTAAAAGGTTTGGTGATCTGCTCCTATAATAATTGAAAACCAAGGGAACCTTATGAGACAGTTGTATCATGTTACACAGGGTTGCTATGAGTTGTAATAACTTGATTCCACCTAGCAATTAATTGGCTGCTGTGAAAAATGAGGTTAGAGGAGTTAATTGTGGAAGAAAGAAGAAAAGCGGTTTCGAAGCTACTTGAATCCAAGTCTGAGATAATGATGTTTTGGCCCTGAGTTGTTGGCAGAGGACATAAAGAAAAGAGGGCCAATTCCAATAGTGTGTAGGTAATGAAATTGACAATATCCTAGAGATTATTTGTATATGATGAGGAAGAACAAGAATTACTTTCAGATTTTATGCTAGCAAAGCTAGGCAGATTATGTCAATTACTGACTTAAAAAAAGAATTCTCATGCTGCACTGCAATCCCAGAGAAACATGGTTCGAATTCACCAGATGCTCTGCTGGAGAAGGAGGCACAATATCCTCCCGTACCAGTCAGATCTGATTTGACGGTACACGCACACAAAATAATAAAAAATTTTAAAAAAAAGAATTCTCCTTCATTAAAAGTTAAAAACCAAACTTAGTTTACTCTTGAACCCATTCTGACGCATGGAAACCTTTGTATGTAGAGCTTGACTCTTTCCGAAACAGATCATCAGGCCTTACCTCTGAGGCACCTCTGAGTGGGTTCATATAGCAGACCTTTTCATCAGTAGACAAGCATTTAACCAGTTCTACCACCAAGGAACGCCTCCTCCTCTGTATTGTTGTTATTAGGTGCCATCACGTCAATGTTCGATACATATTGAAATTACAGTGACGGAGTAGAACTTCCCCATAGCATTATTTTTAGGTTATGATATTTACAAAAGCAGACTGCCTGATGTATCTCGCACATTGCTGGTGTGTAGATTTGTACCACAAACATTCTCATTAACAGCCAAGAATGTTACCATTAAAAGAACCAGATTTGGCTGAAGAGAAAATAGTGGGTGTTTCAACCTGAGTTTGAAGTGTTCATGTGACATCAAGTAAAAGCAAAGAGTGTTGTGATTAGGTGCCACTGAGTAAACTATGACTCATAGCGAGTGTATGAACAACAAATCCGAACCGTGTCCTAACCTGCATCATCCACATAATCTCTGTCATGCTTGAGCCCATGGTTACAGTGACTGTCAGTGACTGTGTCAATCCATCTTACTAAGGCTCACCCTCTCTTTTGTTGACCCTGTACTTTTCTCAGCATGACATCTTGTTCCAAGGACTAGAAACTTCTAATAACATGTCCACAGTATGGGAGATGAAATTTCACCATCCTTCTGTGTTAGGAGCACCCTGATTTCATTTCCTTCAATTTGATAGAGCAGGCAGTTACGTATTCATACTTAGATTTTAGAGGAGAGGTTGGGTTGGTAATATCTATATATTTGGAAAGCATTTGAGTATAGGCAGTTAATGAAGCCATGGAGTGACTGAGATAGCTTTGCATGAGAGTAAGACAGAGAAGAGACCAAGACCTAAGACAGAAAAATGAGCACCTCCAGCGTGTAAAGAGTAGGTAGAATAGAATGTGTCTGCAAAGAGGTCAAGATGATACATCCAGAAATGTAGAAGGAAAATGTAAGGAACATATGCTATCTTGGGATCCAAAAAGAAAATTACTTCAAGTGCAGATGAGCTAAGTGACAACTAAACAATGTATCAGATTCAGTGACCTGAATGTCACAAGTAATATTATTGTTGTGGTGATGTACTTTCTATTAAGAACGCATAGCTGACCCTCCAGCAAGTTTTCAGGGACAGTAAATCACATGGGAAGAGACTGACCTTCCTTCTCCCATGGTGTATCTGGTGGATTCAAACTACGTGTCCTTGAGATTGCAGTGTAGCTTCTTACCACCATGAGCCAAAAGCAATTGGCAAGATTGAGGAATAATAGAGAAAAAGATGGAGCTCTGGTGGCCTAGTGGGTGGGGAGCTGTACTCCCAGTCCAAAGGTAGGCAGTTGAAACCTATCTGTTGCTTCCAGGAAAAAGATGGGCAATATTCTTGTGTGTTATTTACAGGCTCTGAAAACCCACTAGAGGGTCAGTTGTGAGTTAGTTCCACCTTCATGGCAATGAAGTGGGTTGTGAGAGAAAAGCCAAGGCGAAATGTGATTGGGTATTAGGGTTATGACAAGAGCACAGAATGAAGGTTGCATAGTGGAGTGTACTCAGGGGTCGGGGGTGGATTGTATACCAATGAAGGAATTTTTCTTTTACTTTTCAAAGAGAAGAGCGAACTGGGGAAGGGGGGTGAGGGGTGGGCAGGGAGAAAAAGGCAACAATGAATGAATGGAAACCCAAAATCTCTGTAAATGTTCTCTAAAATTAATAAAATTTTTTTAAAAGTCAATGGAGAAACCCTTAAGGAATCTGGATGACATTCACACTATGGAATACTACGCAGCACGCAGGAACAATGATTTTTAAATCATTACCCAACTTGGGAAGGTCGGGAGAGCATTATACTAATTGAACTAACTCAGTCCCATAAGGACAAATATTTTATGAGATTATAATTATAGAACATGTATGAGGATCCAAGGTGGGGAGGGAGAGAGTAGAGAGGTGAGAATGGGCAGGGGATTAATCATAGGGTCGCACAATTTGATAGGTTGAGGGAGGAAGGGATGGGGAAAGGAAATGGGAAAGGTCCAGTGTGAAAAAACAATATATAAGAACTTTGTAAGTAAACTAGTATAAAATAAAAATTTTATTGATTTAAAAAAAGTCTAGATGACAAAGGCTTTTAACAGAGGGTCAGTATTGTACAATTAGTGGTTAACAGCCAGGTTCAAATCCTGGCTCTAATACCAGCTGTGAGGTCCTCTTAATCTTTTTGGGTCCTTACTTTTACTTAATTATTTAAAAAAAAATAAAATTTGTGGGCAGATAAAAGTAATCCAATATTAGTTGATCTGTATTATGGGCTAGATTAAGCATAAATAAACTGTGGTGATCCTGCCAAAACTGAGTACATGAGAAGAAGTAAAAAGGTTAAATAAATATGAGTGTGGTGGAAACTTTACATATTTTAGAGAGTTGTGCAACCCCTACAGAAAGCAGTTTCAGAGCGCTGGACAAAGACTAAGGATGACAGAAGAAGAATTAATGCCTTTGAGTTGTGGTGCTGGGGAAGAGTCTTGAACATACCATGGACCATCAAGAAAAAAATAGATCTGTCTTGGAGAGGATGAAAACAAGTTTCTCCTTGGAGGCTAGGATTTTGAAGCTTTGTCTCATATACTTTGGGCATGTGACCAGGACCATGTCTCCAGGTCCATGGAGAAGGATATCATGCTTGGAAGGGTGGAAGGACAGTGCAGGACAGAAAGACTCTGGATGAAATGTATTGATGTGGTAATAGAGGCAATAGGGGTTGGTGTGTCAGAATCGTGAGACTGGCTCAGGACAGGGCAGGCTTCAGAGCTGGTGTACATAAAGTTGTTATGAATCACAGGTGATTTGACAGCACATAACAACAACATGGAAAGTAGTTTAGTGCTTCCTCAGAAAGTAGAAATACCATTTTATCCAGAAACCTTATTACTAGGCATGTATCCTAAATCAAGAGCTAGGACACCTACTGATATTTGCATACCCATACTCATAGCAGCACCCATATTCATTCATTATTTACAATAACAAAGAGGTGTAAACAACTCAAGTGTCTAACAATGTATTCATGGATAAAGACACCATCATACATTCACACAGTGGAGTGTGTGCAGCACTAAAAAGAACAATAAAGAATTAATGAAATGCTGTTTAATATGAATGAAACCAGATGGCATGCTGAGTGAAATAAGTCCCAAAAGGACAAATATTGTACAAGGGTACTATAATAAAAACCTAAAGAAAGGTTTACATACAGATAAAATCAGTCATGGATAGCTGCAATGAGGAATGAAAAGCAAGGAAGAAGGGAGTAAAAATTAGTAAATAGATAACGCTGTTGTTGTT